TGCACACCCATGTTTATCATGGCTTTGTTCACAACAGCAAGGAGTTGGAAACAACCTAAGTGCCCATCAACAAAAGAATGGCTAGAGAAGCTGTGGTATATTCACATGATGGAATACTACGCTGCATTGAAAAACAAGGAACTCATGAAATATTATGCAAAATAGGTGACTCTGGAAGACATGATGCTGAGTGAAATATCTCAGTCACAAAAGGACAAATACTGCATAGTGCCACTGCTGTAAAACAGGACTGACATAGGGGTTGGGGGAAGACTGAGAAAGATGGGCAAATAATGTATACTGCATTGAAACAGATGAGGGAGAAAACTGTTTAAAAGGGCTATGTGATTAGGTATTATTGTCATGACAGGTGTCCAGAAGGAAGGCTGCATAGTGGAGTGGACCTGAGGGGAGAGATTGTAAAACAATGGAAGAATTTTTCCTTTACTTTTCACAGAGAAGAGTGTACTGGGGGGAAGGAGGGCCAGGGAGAAAAGTGCAACAATTAATGAATGAAAATCCAGTCTCTGTAAATTTTCATTAAAATTAATAATAATTAAAGGGGGGGGGAGAAAAAACAAGAGGGAAAAAAGAAGGAATAAATCCCTAACTGTGTATCTCTATCAGAGTGCTCCTTATAAGCAAAGATTATGAGACTCTGTCTCACATACTTTGAGCATGTGGTCAGGAGGGGCCAGTCTTTAGAAAAGGATGCCATCCTTGGACAATCAGCAAAGGAGAGGAAGACTTTCGATGACATGGACTGACACAGTAATTGTGGGAATGAGCTTAAGCACAGCAGAGACTATGAAGCTGGTGCAGGATTGCGCAAGGCGTCAATCCATTGTACAAAGGGTCACTATGAGTCAGAGTGGCCCTATTTGAACAGCATCAAATAATAACAACTATAACACCTCCTACAATCTAGCCATTCCTAAATATTTTCCCAATGTGAGACTGAACTCCTGAAGAGCAATGAGCGCACTGCCTAGCACGGGCTGGGCCTTTCAGAAATGCTTTCTGAAACAAGCAGCAATCACCTACTTCTGAGATGCCCCACAAACCAATTATTAAGCCCTTAGGAAGAAAGCATGCTGTATATCATGCTACCACTGTTAAGAGGCAGTCAAGTTAATTCAAAGATAATTACCAGCAACTCACGTGTCACATCGGGCAGTGGCTTGTTCTATTATACATAAGCTCATCACAAGTCAGAGCCAATCTGACAGAGCTAACAACAATTATTTTCAGAAGGAGCTTTGATGGCACAATGGTTAAGGCCATGGCAATTCAAACCAACAGCAGCTGAAAACAACAGGAGAGAAAACATCACGAGATCAGCTCACATAACGACTGTTGTGTACCGCATGTTGTGTACAGCAGACTCTGAACAGACCCATAGCTGACCCTCCGCCTGGTTTACACAGCCAATTAGTTGCACAGGAGGAGACCGTCCATCTTTCTCCCAAAGAGCACCTGGCAGATTCAGACTGTATGCCTTTGGGCTCAGCATCTTTCTCATTAGGCCACCAGAGCTCCTTTGTACCCTACAATGAAAAGGCAATTTTATTGCATCCTTCACATGTACTCTGACGTGATAATACATGTAGGTAGGAAAAGAAATGCTTTATTATATATGATAAATGTGACCTGTAGGTCATGACACAAATAAACACAGAGAGTATAACTTAAAAATGGAGAATCTCTGAATCAAAGGTTTGGATTTTTTCCTTGATGGCTATAAAAAGTAATTCTATTGACAATTTTCTAATACATAAATACCAGCTAATTTCTGAGGAATCTTCTGTTATGCATACTTTCATAAAGAAGTTTGTTAACAATTAATGTTAGAGCATTACTGAAAGAAGTACAAATCCAATTACATGCTCAAACTATGGAGCAAATGTCTTCAGCAATTCTTTCTTCAAGACCACAGAAAAATACACACAATCCTCTTGACTCCTGAGCAAACCTAAAATTACTCCTTCTCATGAGTGTACACCCAAAAGCAATTCATATTTGCACCCATTCAACACAGAGCAACATACTCTTCACTCTGAGTCCTTTAATTCTAGGCTGTAATGATTTCAAACCAAGATAAAACTACAACAGAAGAAAAAAAATCTGTTCCTGATTATGTTCTAATTGCCCACTATGTTCCTACACTAACTCTCCCACGTAAAATATTAACAACCAAAGAAATCATAAAATTCTTAGAATGACAAACTTCTTATTTGGGCTGTTTTTTGGTCACTTTTGTTGTGGTGTTCTTTCCCCCCTATATTTTAAACATATTGTTTATGAGTTCCAAAATGCAGGGCACATATTACCTGAAAGTGTTTCTGTCAGTACCTGAACTTAAATGCAATATTACTCTGTGTGTGTGTGTGTGTGTATAATATATATACACACACACATATATGTGTAGTTTTTCCGTTTAACCCATATATAAAGTTAATCAGTCTCCAAATGTTTTTTTCAAAAAGAGCACATTTATTTTAAAAGCATAATGTCTAATCACCAGACGCTTCTAATACTCTTCATGGTAGAAAACAAAAAATTATCACTGTTGGCTCTCCCATCAATGACAGCTTGGCAGAGACGATCTGTTCTGAAAATATTAGAAATTTCAAGTGACATCAAATGAGGCAGGAACCACATATGGTATCTATCTTCCTAAGACTCAATAAGAGAACTATTTCAGTACTGAAAGTCCAAAGCTTTAGCTTTATTTGTAAAATATATAAATGGTTATATATATACGAAAAGCTCAGATATATGAAATACAAAGTCATTGCAATGTATGGATGTCTAAAAGAAAAAGAAGCACAAAGAAAACTGCACACTAGAAACTACTCTGCATTTGAGTGTTTCAAGGTCCCAAAACTTGGTATTTTTGAGGTATAAACCCTTTCACTTTGTAAAATAAAGCAACAATACTAAATTAACAGTTAGCATGCATTTCTAACTTCACCAAGTACTCTATGTTTAGAAAGCACATAATAAAAAGAGGACATTTTTACAGGTTTCCTCTGTGGTAGGCAAAGTTCTACAGATGTCACATTTTAACTCCCATAGTCCTCGTAACAACATCTTTATGAGACAGTGACCTTAATTATTTTCTCCATTGTACTGATCAAAATCCTAAGGCACAGATGGATTAACTCATCCACTGCCACTGTTGTTGTTAGGTGCCGCTGTGCTGACTCCAACTCATAGTAACCCTATCTACGTAACTCGTAACCTTGCCCATTCTTGCACCAGTCTCACACTCTTAAGACCACTGTTGCAGTCACTGTGTCAATCTGCATCACTGAGGGTCTTTCTCTCATTTACTGACCCTCTATTTTTCCAAACATGATGTCCTTCTCTAAGGACTAGTCTTTCTTAACAAAATGCCCACTATGTATCAGATGAAGTCTCACCATCCTTGCCTCTAAGGAGTACTCTGTCTGGAAAGGGTACAGATTTATTTCTAAAACGAATTTATTTGCTTTTTTAGCAGTGCATGGCATATTCAGTACCCTTCACCAAAACTATACAGCTAGTGAAAAGGAAGGAAGGAATTTCAACACCAGTTATTTGGCTCTATAGATCCCTGGGTAGCAAAATGGCTATGCAATGAACTAAAAAGCATACTGGAAGAAAAGGCCTGGTGATCTACTTGTGAAAGGTCAGTTTCAAAAACCCTACGGAAAAGTTCTATTCTATGCACATGAGGTTAAAGATAGCAGCTAACAACACCAGTACCAAGTCTAGCTCCAGTATCATGCTGACCACCAGAATGTTTCATTGAAAAGAATTACACAATTGTGGCTAATCACTTTTTCTTTAACCTGGTATCTATTTCGGATTCCAAAGGATAACAGATTACATGTAGGCTTTGTAATCAAACAGATCACAAAAAGATCCCTGAGTAAGATTTGAGTCTCAGCCTGCTTTATGTGAAATGAGAGTACTTAGTTACTGTGATTGCTAAATGAGGAAATATATAAATAAAGGGCCAAGTACACTATTAAGGATATGGTTTCTAATCTGAGGCTCATAGATGGGCTTCAGAATTCACAACTTTCAAAACATATGACACATTTTGCATGCGCCCAGTCTGAAAAAGAGTAGTATCAGCTTTCCAGAAACTTTCAAGGTATGATACCCAACTGGCTCTGAACCTAGGGAATACATTTTAGCGCTTCTACTTTTCCCTTAGGGAAGAAAAGCCAAGGTATCACAAAATCCCTATTTTACAAGTTTGGCAACCTGCAATATTTGCAAGCTTAAGCTCCTAATATTCCGGCAATAGTCTAATAAATGCCTTCAAGCACTGTTCCATCCCGCTTGTCACCTAGACAAATACACCACTAACTGCAGGAGAATAGTGAGCTGGGCTGCACACAGCAGCACGCCAATTAGGAGAACCAAGTATAAACTAGAGCCTCTGGACTGGACAGCAGACGCGTAACACCCTACCTCAGCGGACAGAGAAACAGGTGTTATTCAAAACTACTGGACAACAGAGGATTTCGACCCCACAAGCCTTGTCCTCCTTTTGGAATTCAGGTACAAGTCTCCTGGGCTGGACAAGTGAGGAAGAGAAACGTTACCCGATCAAGTATTTGAAGTGTGCAGGCGAAGCTGCAGCTCTACCATCCTCGGAGGTGGAGCCAACACTAAGCAAAATAAAAACTTGCCCTCAACGGCCCCAGGAACACCCGCGTAGGGCTGGTTCTTCACACCGGCGAGGGCGTTCCCAATTTCCCAGCATGACTTCCGCTTCCGGGTTCTCCTTTGCCGGAAGCTGCATCCGGTAACGTCAAAGTGCCGCGCCAGCCTTGCTCGCGGAAGAAAGCATAGGAGTCCGGTGTGAACATGGTGAGAGGAACGCCTGGAAAGGGAGATTTTGAGAATACTTTTTAGGTGCAGATTGAAGGGAAGTCAGCCTTTAGCTGAATATCCTCCACGTTTCCCTCGTATATTTTCCTTTTGAGGAGGAACAAGTGCCTATGAATGCTCTTTACGGTGGGAAGAAGTCACGTTGGGACTGGGAGGGCAGGAGGAGCAGGGTGATTGATGGAAGGGCAGAATGGAAAGGAAAAAGAAGAAACTCAAGAACGTTCATTAACTATGATTTCTGTTTTAAGGGGAAGCAAAAGAAAACGCGCAAGTATGCGACCATGAAGCGAATGCTCAGCCTCAGAGATGAGAGACTGTAAGTGTTTACAGAGACTGGCTTTGTAAGACTGTCAAAAAGATGGGAGTCACGAAGGGATAAGTAGTTAAAACTATTGTGTTTTACTTTTAACACTGTTGTTGTTATGTGCCGTCGAGTCACTTGCGACTCATAGCGACCCTATGTACGACAGCCCTAAACTCTGCTCTGTTAGGGTTTATGTGTCATGGAATAGTAGCTGGATATGTCACTCTCAGCTGAATGGTTATGTTAGGAAAGGGAATGAGATTGAAACTTTTCTTAAGTGCTCACTTTGTTTCATAGTTGTTATTTGCTTTTCTAACATTTCATAGTTAGAACTCACAACAGTTGAGTGATGTATGCAGAATTAGCTTTATGCACTTGCCAAGATGTTTACCAGAAAGGAATGCCATCATTGTTGATAGGTGAAATCAGATACTACCTTTATCTCACGTCTCCAGCACTTAACATTCAAAGATTTTTGAGAGTAAGAAAACTCCGAAATGTCTCCATCTTATCGTCTTGGAAATTTAACAAGAAGGCAAAAAGAAGTGGACTAACACTCTTTATTATAATAAGGACCTAAACAACTTATCCTGCTGGAGCAAAGAATAAAGATTTTAATGAGGATGCTCTTCATTGTGGTGTTCTCAGATTTTTAATAATAAGTTTAATATGTAACATTTAGGAAAGATGTTATAGAAATGTAAATGAGTCCTGTATAAGAACTATCAAAAATTCCTTATACAGAAGATAAATGTCAACATATTTGCACACTCCTTTCAGTGGATTTTGTTTGTTTGTTGGGGTATTTTTTTCTTTCTTGTTATGTACCATCCAATCAGATCCAACTGGCACAGGAGGAGATTTCTCTTCTTCAGTGGAGCATGTGGTGGAATTAGAACTGTGCGCCTTTGAGATTGCAGCACATCTTCTTGTCAGTAGGCCACCAGAGCTCCCTGTTCAGTGGATTTTGATCCTCGACTTGATAGTTCCAATTTCAAAAAAAGGTGGAAGAATATGGAAATTATCAAACATGCAAGTAAAATCTTGCTGAAGGTTACCCCAAAACAGCCAGAACGTTGCATCAACAAAGAACTGCCAGAAATTAAAAATAAATTTTAAAAACGCTGTGTACCACCAGAGATATCATTGCTGATATCATTTGGATGTTGGCTGAAAAGCAGTGAGTACCAGGAAAATGTCTAATTTTGCTTTATTGACCATATAGAGGCATTTGACTTTATTGACCATATAAAGGCATTTGAATCATAACAGTGTGGCTTATTGAGAAGAATGGAAATCCCAGAACACTTAATTGTGTTCATGTACACTAAGAAGGTGGTATCTGAACAGAGCAAGGGAACACTACATGCTTTAAAATCAAGAAAACTGTACATCAGGGCTGTATTTTTTCTCTAAATCTATTCAGTCTGTTGAGCAAATCATTTGAGCAGGTGGACTCTATAAATGTGGCATCAAGATTGGAGCAAGACACCTCATAAACATATTAAACAGATGACACAGTCTTGCTTGCCAAAAGCAAAAAGGAGTTGAAATACTTGTTGCAGAAGATCAAAGACTGTAATATTCAATATAGATTACATCTTAACATCAGGAAAACAAAAATTAGGCCACTAGACAACATTGTGATAGAGAAAAGATTGAAATTGCCAACAATTTAAGCTTGCTTGGATCCCCAGTCAACACCTTTTGAAACAGAAGTCAAGAAATCAAAGATGTTTGCATTGGGTAAATCACCTCTCCAGGTGGTAAGGAGTAGTGATGACAATTTAAATACCAGGGTGTATCTGATTCAAGCTATAATCTTTTTAATTACTCGTTATGCATCTGAACATTGCACAGTAGCCAAGGATGACAGCAGAAAAATCAATGCCTTTGAGTTGTGATGTTAGAGAAGAGAACTGAATATCCCATGGACTGCCAAAAGAACAAACAAATATATCTTAGAAAAAGTGCAAACAAGGTGTTCCTTGGAGACAAAGATGGTGAATATTCACCTCATATCTTGAGTATGTTGTTAGGAGGGGCCAGTTTTGGGAAAGGACATCATGTTTAAAAGGTAGATGGTCGGTGAAAGATGGATTGGTGCAGTAACTGTAATCATGGGCTCAATTATATCAGAGTTGATGAGGATGGCACAGGATAGGACATGGTTCAGATCAGCTCTGTTAGTCATTGAGTTTCTATAAGTTGTAGTCACCTCAAGGATACCTAACAAGAAAGAATAATAGCAACATTTATGTACTCAAATATAATTGTTATGGATTACAGGCTAGTGACTTTAAGTTTTTGCTTCGTTTTTCTGTTAAATCATAATCCTAGGCTTCAATTATTTGTGATAAAAAACTATACTGTTAACTGATGTAAGGAAGTCACAAAGTAGAATTTCATCTCTAGGTAAAAACAAACTTTTGAATGAGATTCTAACTGCTATTGTTTTTTTTTCCTTATTCCTTGGATTTCTTTACATTTTCTTCCAAGAAAAGAAAAGGATCGTTTAAAACCTAAAAAGAAAGAAAAGAAAGATCCCAGTGCTCTCAAAGAAAGAGAAGTGTGAGTAATCATGAACTTCAGTCAGATTTTTCTGAGACTACATATATACCTCTTCAGAATGGAATCTGTCCCTGAATTTAGTCATTAAGGATACTGAGTCTATATAACAGTATCATTTTATTCATGATAGTTATAGTCTACTGTTAAGCTTATATGACTATTTTAGAGGAAAAACAGGGTTGGATAACTTCATTTTGGGGTTTTTTTGTTTGTTTGTTTAATGTTATTATTATTTTGTGTGTGTGTACCATCAAATCGGATCTGGCTGGTTCAGGAGGAGACTGTACCTCCTTCTACAGCAGAGCATCTGGTGTATTCGAACTGCACACCTCTTGGATTGCAGTGCAGTTCCTTACCACTAGGCCACCAGAACTCCCTGGATAACTTCATTTTTAAAGTTGCAGAGAAGTATAGTAATGGACCCGAGATTGAGATATCCTGTTACTTCTTTCTTACTGTCCTTTTCAGAGCTTATTTTTAGTGGCATTTAATCTGTAGCAAACTAGAGATTAATAGGGGAAATTAAGCTGTAGCAAACTGTCCAAAGCAGAGATTTCTTTTTTGTTATTGATACAAGTGTATCAGTGTAAATACTACTTTGTGTTCTTGATTATTTTTTTTTTTTTCCTTTCAGGCCTCAGCACCCTTCCTGCTTGTTCTTCCAATATAACACGCAGCTGGGGCCCCCATACCATATCCTTGTTGATACCAACTTCATTAACTTCTCCATTAAAGCCAAACTGGACCTGGTGCAATCAATGATGGACTGTCTGTATGCCAAGTGTGAGTATCATGCTTTCATATTTTTGTGACATTTGTACATTGTAAATTGTGTGAGTTACTTAGATTTATCCAAATAAATTGTAAGAGTGTGTTTCTCTATTGGATATATGTTTTGAGCACAGGAAGAGAATTTGCTTTATTAAAATTCTGAATGAATGGGTCTTTTTTCAATAGACATATCTTTTAAGTTAAGGAAGAAACATTATTTCACTCTAGGGTTGTTGTTGCTGCTGTTATTGTTTATGTTCTATCGAATTGCTTGTGATCTTAGCAACCCTGTATACAAGAGTCGTGAACCTACTGTTGTTTTTGTTGTTATGTGCCGTCGAGTAGTTTGCGATGCATAGCGATACCGTGTACGACAGCCCTAAACTCTGCTCTGTCCTGTGCCAGTCGCACTGTCTCTGACACTCCCATCCCGATTACCCTAGTCACTGAATCAATCTACCTCATAGAGGGCCTTCCCCTCCTGCGCTGTCCCTCCACCCTCCCAAGCATGATGTCCTTCTCCAAGGACAGGTCTCTCCTTACAACATGCCCAAAGTATGTTAGACAGAGCCTCAGAATCCTTGCCTCCAAGGAGCCACCCGGTTTAACCCTTTCCAGAATGAATCTGTTTGTTTTCCTAGCAGTCCATGGTACCCTCAATACTCTTCTCCAGCACCACAGCTCAAAGGCATCAATTCTCCTTCTATCCTCCTTGGTCATTGTCCAACTCTGATGCATAACAAGTGATTGCAAAGACCATGGCCTGTGTAGAAAAGCTAAATAAGAGTTTGTTATTTCAGATTATTGGGCTACTAGCTGAATAACGATCAAGTTCTAAGTTCACTTTAATGTCTGTTGGTAATACAGCATCTGAGATGGCTTATTTATACCTAAGTATGCATTTTACTCAATAGGTTGTGGGGGTTTTTCCTGTATATTTGGGCCTCCCTTCATTAATATGATCTTCATACCCTGAACAAGGGGGGTAAAAACCAGACCATGTGTGGGAAAATAACATCAAGAGAACAAAAATCCTCATCATTGCATCAATAGGCAACATCGTGATAGATGGAGAAGAGATTGAATTTGTCAGTGATTCCATTTTGGATACACAATCAACATGCTTGGTACCAGCAGTTAAGAAATTGGAGAAAAAGGGGTACACGGTGCCCATGCTTGCACTACGCACAGTGCTGGATGCCAGCTGCGGCGAGGCGCAAGCATCTCTGAGGCGTTTGTCTCCATTTTGTTGTTTTATTGTTGTTTCTTTGCTTTTTTATTAATTTTAATGAAAGTTTACAGAGACTTTGGATTTCCATTCATTCATTGTTGCACTTTTCTCCCTGCCCACCCTTCCCCCCAACCCAATTCACTCTTCTCTTTGAAAACTAAAAGAAAAATTCTTTCATTGTTATGCAATCCCTCCCCCCATGTCCACTTCACTGTGCAGCCTTCATTTCTGGACTCCTGTCATGACGATAATACCTAATCATATATCCCTTTTAAACAGTTCTCTCCCTCATAATTTTTCAATGCAATCTACATTCTTTATCCCCTCTTTTGTTATTTTCAGTTCCCCCCACCGCCAATGTCAGTCTTGCTTTACAGCAGTGGCAGTATGCAGCATTTGTCCCTCCAAGATAAGTCACTCAACATAGTGTCCTCCAGGGTCACACGTTTTGTATAATAATTCATGAGTTCCTTGTTTTACAATGCACCATAGTATTCCATTGTGTGACTATACCACAGCTTCTCTATCCATTTGTTTGTTGATGGATACTTGGATTGTTTCCAACTCTTTGCTATAGTCAGCAAAGCTGCAGTAAACATGGGTGTGCATATATCTGCTTGGGAAGCAGTTATGGTTTCTTTAGGATATATTCCCAGTAGTGAAATTGGTGGGTCAAATGGTATTTTTATTTCCAATTTTTTAAGAAAGCACCATACTGAGTTCCACAGTGGTTGCACCATTTTACACCGCCACCAACAGTGAATAAGGGGTCCAGTTTCTCCACAACCTCACCAGCATTTGTTGTTTGCTGTTCTGTTAAACTTTACGATTCTTACTGGGGTGGAATGATATCTCATAGTTGTTTTGATTTACATCTCTAGGGATTATGAACATTTCTTCATGTGTTTTGTTTGCCATCTGAATGTCTTTAGTGAAGTGTCTGTTCATGTGCCTATTTTTCGGTTGGATTGTTTACTTTTATCTTGTTTTGGTGATTGAGTATTTTTTAAATTCTAGACAAAAGTCCTTTATCTGACATGTCATTACCAAATACTTTTTTCCAAGTCTGTGATTTCCCTTTTTACCCTGTTGGAGAAGTTTTTGGATATGCATAGGTATTTTGATTCTTAAGAAGGTCCCATTCATCTCTTTTATCCTCTCCTGATGTAGATTTTTTCAGGATGCTTGGAAGACTGTTTATGTTGTGGATTGTGACTTCTAGAGTTCTCCTAAGCTTTTCTCTAATGAAGTTTTTAATCCTTGGTTTTAGTCCTAGGTCCATGCATGATCCACCTTGAGTTGGTTTTTGTATATGGAGTGAGGTGTGGATCATGCTTGAGTCTTTTGCAGATACTTTTCCAATTTTGCCAACACCATTTGTTAAAAAAGCTGTTGTTTCCCCTCTTAACTGATTTTATCTCTGTCAAAAATCAGTTGACTATAGATAGATGGGCTGATCTCTGGGTTCTCAATTCTATTCCATTTATCTATGTGTCTCTCATTGTACCAGCACCATGCTGTCTGAACCACCACGGCAGTGTAGTTGCATATGAAATCAGGGAGTGAGATACCTCCTACCGTTCTTCTCTTTTTAAGGAGTGCTTTGCTTGTTCAGGACTTCTTTCCATTCCAAATGAGACTGGAGATTGCCTTTTCCATTTCCTTGAAGAATGGGATTGGTATTTGTATTGGAATTGCATTAACGTGTAAATTGCCTTTGGTAGTATTGCCATTCTCACAATATTGAGTCTTCCCGTCCATGAGCAAGGGATATTCTTCCACTTCTCCAGATCTCTTTTTGTTTCTTGTAGTAATGTTTTGTCATTTTCTTTGAATAGTTCCTTTGTGTTTCTGGTTAAATTTACTGCCAAGTATTTAATCTTGTGATTAGCTATTGTGAAAGGTAATTGTTCTTCTTAGCTCCAGTTCTGTATTCTCTTGTCACTGTAGAGAAATCCAGTTGATTTTTGTACGTTGATCTTCTATCTTGCCACTTTGCTGAATTGGTCAACTATGTCCAATAGTTTTCTTGCTGAGTCTTCATGGTTTTCTAAGTATACTATCATCATCTGCATATAGAGATAATTTTACCTTCTCTTTCTCAATTTGGATACCTCTTCCTTCTTTTGTCTTACTGCTATAGCTAAGACTTACAATACAATTTTGAATAGGAGAGGTGATAGTGGGCATCCTTTCCTAGTTCCTGTTCTTAAAGGGAATGCCTTTAATCTCTCTCCACTGAGAACAATGTTAGCTCTCAGGTTTGTGTATATTTTTAACTATTTTGAAGAAATTCCCCCCTAATTCTTATTTTGTTGAGTGTTTTAATCAAGAAAGGATTTTGTCAAAGGCCTTTTCTGCATCAGTTGATAGGATCATATGATTCTTGTTCTTTGCTTTGTTAATAGGATGAATTACACTGATTGTTTTTCCTATGTTGAATCATCCTTGCATACCTCTTATGAATCCAAATTGGTCATGGTGAATTATTTTTTGATGTGTCCTTGGTTTCTCTGCAGCACATATACTAAAATTGGGACGATACTGAGAAGATTAGCATGGCCCTGCACAAGGATGACACACAAATTCATGAAGCGTTCCATATTTTTAGGTGGTTTGATTCAGTAACTGGAGTAATGGAGGTGGGTGTGTCGGAGACAATGAGACTGGCACAGGACAGAGCAGGGTTTAGAAATGTTGTACGTAGGGTCACTTTTAGTTTCAGGTGACTCGAGGGCACATAGCAGCAACAACAATCGTTGGTTTCTACTGGCCAGGATTTTATTCAGGATTTTTGCATGTTTGTTCATGAGAGATATTAGCGTAATTTTGGTGATGTGTTTTACCTGGCTTTGGTATCAAGGATATGTTTGCTTCATAGAATGAGTCTGGGAGAATTCCATCTTTTTCTGTTTTCTGAAATAGTTTTTGTAGAATTGGTGATATTTCTTCTCTGACTATTTGATAAAATTCACTTTTAAAACCATCTGGTCCAGGATTTTTTTTTTTTGCTGGAAGTTGTTTTAATACCTATTCAATTTCTTCTTTTGTAATGGATCTGTTCAGGTGTTCATTTTTGGTTTGTATCAGCTTAGGTAGGTTGTGAATTTCTAAGTATTTGTCCATTTCCTCTAGGTTTTCATATTTGTTTGAATATAGTTTTTCATAATATCCCAATGTTAGCCTTTTTATTTTAGTTGGTTCTATTGTGAAGTTGCCTGTTTCATCTTTTATTCGGATTACTTGTGTCTTTTCATTCTTTTTCTTTGTTAGTTTTGCCAATGGTTTGTTGATTTTATTGACCTTTTCTAAGAACCAACTCCTGGTTTTGTTGATGGTTCCAGTTGTTGTTCTGTTTTCTATTTCATTTATTTCTGCTGTGATTTTTTTTTTCATTTAAAAAATAGTTTTATTGAGGTCTATTTAGTATGCAATCAACTATACAAATTTAAAGTATATGATTTGCTAAGTTTTGTCTTCTGCTCTGATTTTTATGATTTCCGTTTTTTTAGAAGGTGTCAGTTTTTCTTGCTGTTCCTTTTCAATTTGTTGGAGATGTTGGGTTAGAGAGTCAGTGGTCATTTTTTCTTGCCTTTTGATATGTTTGTTTATTGCTATAAATTGACCTCTGGTTACTGCTTTGGCTGTTTCCCAGAGGGTTTGATAAGTGGTGTTTTTATTGTCATTTGTTTCAAGAAACTTTTTAATTTCATTTTTTATTTCTTTTAGTATCCATACATAATGAAGCAAGGTGTTGTTCAGCTTCCAAATATATGGCTTT